GTGCAAGTGGGAGATTGTTAGAGTAGGTGCCCTAGAGCCAATCAATTATTGTAAGATTGACTCTGTAATAAATGTTTATTTATCAATGAAAGGCATATTCTTCTATATCGTGTAAATCATAGTTATATGTAATGATATATGTCCTTAGGATGGTAGAACTATGACGAGAGTATCAAGTGTTTCAAATCTTGATAGTGAGAACCCTATGATCACATATGGTGGTCATTCTAGAAACGTCTGTAGCCCTAATATTATTCTGACTAAGGACACAGATAATACGGTAAGGTTATCATAGCGTTGAACAACCCTATCGAAAGGTAGTGACTGATCTCACTTGTCAAGGTTGTTTGCCAACAACCTGGTGCAATGTATAGGTGCTTGCTAGAGGCAAGTTCATGGGACAGACACACCAGAGGATTCCATATGGATGGTAACCCNTGGTGTTAGTTTAAATGATTTTGGTGAAGTTATTTGATGTGAATTATGATGAATAATTATTTGTGTTTTGGTTTTGATTGAGGAATTTTATGTGAATTGTGATGAATTGATTGAATTCAAGTGTTGTCTAGAGATTAGAGGATTTATGAGTTACATTGGACACAAATGAATGAGTAATCAAAATTTGTTAGGGGTGTATTTGTAAACTTTTAAGGTATTTTTGTAATTTTTTAAACTATAGGGGGGTAATTGATTTTTATAGAGTACTCGGGAAAGGAACCAGAACCTGCATTTTAGGTTCCAGTTCCTTGAATTTAAGAACCTGTACTGTGCGGTTCCGATTTCGGTTTCTTTTTTTGAGAACCTACACTGTGCGGTTCCGATTTCTCCAAAAAATACAAGGTACCCGGAACCGCTCACCCTTGTAACCAAACTCCAACCCTAGTTCACCCTTGTAACCAAACACACCCTTTATGGTATTTTAATTAAATAATTATCATTATAATTAAAATCAATTAATATATAATAATATATTAACATTTAATTAATAATAATAATAATTCATTTAAATATATACATAGATATATTTAAATATAATCTCACTAATTTAATTTTAATATTAAAATTAAATACAGGCAACAATCTCAGCAAATTTAATTGCACTGTAAGATTACCAAAATACCCTTTTGTCTTGAAAGACGAAAATACCCTTCTCATAGATTGATTCTTAAATTATCTTCTAAGTGTATGACCCATAGGCTCCTCATCATATCGGCAGTGTGTAGTACCACGATTAACACTAATTAATCGTCTCACTATATACAGACCAAGATTGACCTCTAGCAAGGCATCATGGCCACCCGATAGATTCGGATTCAACGAAACCGCAGCCTGTCAACGATATGGTTACCGTGCAATCAAACTCTTTCATCAACTGTTATCTCGCCAAGACTGAGGTACATAAATAGTGTCAACCTCAAATATCTTCGAAATGTTTGTATTCAGTCACTGGACCAACAACAAGAATATTAAATTGGATTGAGCATCAACTCAATTCCACTGTGGCCACAGATTTAGTGTCATTGTCATTTACTGAATTACCTAGTGAGATAACTTCTCCCGTACCCAGGAGTGATGAATCCTTTGTCGATCCATCATAGTCTCGATACACTTCTCAATGTAGCCAATCACTGCCGTATTGATAACTCTGAATAGAACTACATTGAGCTAGTGTCAAACTACACCAATTGGTGCACAAGGCGCTCCGGTGATCTCAAGTCTAAGGATCACATGCACCATCATCCGTTAGAGGATTTATTCCATAGACACTGGGGTTACCATACATATGGAATCATCTGATGGGTCTATCCAGTGAACTTGCCTCTAGTAAGCACCCATGCATTGCACTAGGTTGTTGGCAAACAACCTTGACAAGTGAGATCAATCACTGCCTTTCGATAGGGTCGTTCAATACTATGATAGTCTTATAGTATTATCTATCTCCTTGGATAGAATAATGTTGGGGCTATGGACGTTTCTAGAATGGCCATCATATGTGATCAAAGGGTTCTTACTATCAAGATTTGAAACACTTGATACCCTCGTCATGGTTCTACATCCTAAGGACATATATCATTACATATAATTATGATTTACACGATATAAAAGAATATGTCTTTTATTGATAAATAAACATTTATTACAGAGTCAATTTTTACAATAATATATTGGCTCTAGGGCATCTACTCCAATAATCTCCCACTTGCACTATAACCAATCATTCATGTATTTAACATCGAATGACCCAAGTGCTTATCATGCTTCTGATCCAATAGAAACTTCAACAGTGGGTTAGTAGGTATTCTACAATTATGCACATTCTCGTTCTGATTGACTTCTCAGATTATAATTGAATTGACTAAGTGTTTGGATTACTAGTGAGACCGTGATTCCTTAGCCACAACAATGGCTCCATTATTATCGTAGTAGAACTTTACTGGATCAACAATGCTTGGAACCACATCAAGTTCAGTAATGAACTTCTTGATCCAAACTGCCTATACGGCTGCATTAAACAATGCGTTATACTTAGCATCAATCGTAGAATCTGCTACAATACTTAACTTCGAGCTCTTATAGCTCACTGCAGCTCTATTGAGACAAAATATAAACCCAGATTGTAAGCGAAAATCATCTTATCTGTTTGGAGATTAGCATCACTGTATCTTCTTACAGTGAGCTCATCTTCCCCTCCATAATCCAAGATCATATCCTTAGCCCCTTTTTGGGTATTTAAGGATGTCCGTTCACACTTATCCAGTGTCACTCACTTGGATTTGATTGATATCTTCTACAAGTGCTGATCTCACATAAGACATCAATCTGAGTACATAACACTTTCCTCACTAAGATCTTATTGATATCTTTTGCAAGTGCTTAATGCACATAAGATATCAGTCCGAGCATGCAATCACAACATCACTCTCTTGGATCCAATTGATATCCCCTACAAGTGCTTGATGCACATGAGACATCAATCTGAGCATACAAGATGGATCCTCTTCATTCTATCTCCCTCAGTGTGTGGCTTAGGACACATATCCTCAAAGAGATAGACACTATGTGCCACCGGAAGAGATTCCTTCTTTGATTCTTCCACACTGAATCTCTTTAGTACCTTGTCTTGTACTCCAACTTGGGCTAAGCAAACTTCCTGATCTATTACGATAGATCTTCATTCCGAGAATGTAAGCTGTTTCTCCTAAGTCCTTTATGGAGAATCACTTGGATAACGAAGTGTTTACTGACTGCAAGTTTGGTATATCATTCCCAATCAGAAGTATGTCATCGACATACAACACAAGGAATGCCGCTGCGCTTCCACTCACCCTTTTGTAAACACAAGTCTCATCTCTTCATGGGATATCCCATAAAGATACAATGAGTGGCCCAGGGCTTAAACTTAGGAGAACCAACAATAGTGGAATAGCAAAGACAATCAAATACTCGAAGGTGACTGATGTTAGGAGACTTGCCAAAGAGAACTTCATATGGTGTCTCGCCTCTAAGCACTCTAGTGGGCATCCGATTGACCAGGTAGGCAGAGATGAACACTCATTCACCCCAAAAGGACGCAGACTTTAGGCTTCGTGTTTGAGGGCATGTGCCACTTCTAACAAGTGATGATGTTTTCGTTCTACTATCCTATTTTGTTGTGAAGTGTATGCGCAAGAACTCTCATGGAGAATCCCATGAGAAAGAAATAAAGAGGAACATTAAGTATTGAAAAAAACATGGGCATTATCAGTTCAAATATGTTGAATTGTGGTGTGGAATTGAGTTTGCACCATGGATAGAAAGTTTTGGATATGGATAAAAGTTTGAGTTTTGTTTTGCATAAGGAATACCCATGTCCCACAAGAAAAATTGTCTACAATGGTGAAAAAAAATCTGGATCCATCATGATTTTGAGTATGATAAGGCCCCAAAATATTGAGGTGGACTAAGGCAAAAGGCTAGGTAGTTGAGGATGTCCTTGTGAAAAAACTGTACGTGACTATTTAGCAAAGGGATAGATCAGACATTTAGGTTGAGGAATGGAAGCACTATGACCCAATTTTTGATGGAAAATAAAAGAATTTTTATTACAATGAGATTCTTTATTGGGCGTAATACAATTATTAGACTCAAAATTTTTTTTTTTTTTGAAAATCCCCTAGGTGTCCAATAGTATAAACCGTGATGGGGCCTACCCAAGTCTATTAATTTTCCAGTCGAAGGGTCCTAAAATTCACATGTATAGGAAAGGAATTTTAATACACATTTATTGTCGATGCAAATTTTTGGCATGGAAATAAGGTTGAAGTGAAAATCAGGGACAAATAAGACATTTTTAAGGACAAAATGTTTTGTGAGATAGACAGTCCCTTATGAAGCACTATTTCCATTTGGCATGTGGATGAATGTGGATGGTTTAGTGGATATAGTGTTTATGGAGAAGGATTTTGGGTTGCAAATAATATGGTCAGTTCCCCCTAAGTCAATTATCCAAATATTATTAGAAAAAGAATTCAGACATAAGGATTTACCTGTGTAGGATCTTGCCGCATTAGCTTGCGAAACGTGGTTCAACATTTGAATCAATTGGTTATATTGTTCTGTGCTAATCATTGGCACAGAAATTTGATTTCCTAAAGGCAGGTTGGCTACGACATTATAAACTGAAGAATTCCCAGTTTTATTTTTGTTGGACCCGAGACGCCCATGTAATTGCCAACAGTGGTCACGGGTATGATTCTTTCTTTTGCAATAATCACAATGTAATCTCCCTTATCTTTTGGATCTTGACCCATTAGACCCATTTAGATTTGGCCCATTAGACCCATTTGAATTTGAGCTAATTGAACCGTTTGACTGGAAGCATGATGTGGCATCATATGAACCGTTTGATGAGTGTAAAAGACAAATGATTTTCTGACCGTCAGGTTGCCTTGACCCATCTTGACCCTTCATCCCTCCATATACATTACCCCTTCTTTGCAAGTTTGAGAAACCTAGTAGCTCTCCAACTCCAAAATTCTCCCCGGCTAAATTCCTCCCAACGACGCCAGCCGTGAAACAGAAAAAGCTAAGACATCTCCTACTCGAGCAGTCACCGAAGAAATGTTGACAAGCGGTTGACTATTATCTTGCACCGCAAGTTGGAAAATGCGGCGAAGAGATGGCGGCGGCGAAGTGGCAAGGATTTGCGTTTGGAAAGGAAGAAAGGCTTTATTGAGGCCAAGGAGGAAACGTGATAGCCGTTCGTGATCCCGGATCCTGTGAAATTGCCGCAATGTTTCTGGTGGACCATCAAGGTTCTCTTCCGCCGCATCCAACTTGTTCCGAATGGCGTTGAGTTTGTTGAAATAGGAGGTGACCGACATGTTACCTTGGTGGAGATCATTAAGTTGCTGCCGGAGAGAAAAAGTTTTAGCCAAATCGAGTTTTCCATACATTTCGACGATGCTGGCCCTCATCTCGGAGGCAAGCTCGGTGGGTGGAAGTCCGGTAGCTACTTTAGGAGAGAGAAAATTTCTGATCCAAGAACGAACTAGCGTGTTGCATCGATTCCATTGTTGTTGAAGTTGCGGTTTAGTGGGTGATGAAGCATTGCTGGTGAGAAAACCATCCTTATCTTTGGCAACCAAATCTCGCCGGAAATCTCTGGCCCAGGTAAGAGTAGTTGTCAGTGCCGTTAAGAGGTTGTTTGAGGAGTACCTGTACTGGGCCATCAAAATGCAAAATAAATAGCTTGTCGCCCAGCTGTGGACGGTGGCTGGTGGCTGGAGTGAACTGAAATGTAAACGTGTGTTGCCCGTTTCGCTGATAGGGATCTGTTTGACCTAAGTTGTAACCTGGAAGTGTGAGAAAAGGGTAGATTGGTGGATTTGTTCTAGCTCCATCTGAATGTGGGTCTGTGAAATTGGTGTGGGTTGTTGAAGTTGGGTTGTTCAGACCTGTTTCAGTAGTGGAATTGGTGTGGGATGTGTTGTCGATGGAACCCATTTGTGGTTAAAAAAAAAAAAAAAAAAAAAAAAAAAAAAAAAAAAAAAAACTGATTTGATTTGGGTAGTTTGCAGGAAGAAAAGAAGGTAGCGGAAGCTGATTCAGAGAGGTCGTTCTGATACTATGTCAGAAGCGAGAGTGGCAAGAAAAAGAGATACCTTGAGTTTACCAGAGAAAGAGTAAAGAGTTTATATTTCTGTGTGTATTGCAAGTCTGTACAGCCTCAATTTATACAAAAAAATAATGTTCAAGAAAGAAAATACAATTGTCTAATTACATGTAATCAGGGAACTTGATTGATGCATGAATTGTAGAGAGTAATCTTGGGGATTAGCCGTAATTGTGGTAATTGGCATGATTGTAGTGATTGGGCATGATTTCAGCATTTACATTCCATATTCCTTCAAGATTCCCCTTTGTCTCTAAATAAATAAATCTGCATATTAAAGAACTCTGCTTAGATCATTCTACGCATATTGGATGTATTCTCATCCTTATTTTCTAATCTATGTCCAGGTAGACGAGTTTGCAACTTGGAATGAAACAAGTTTGGATGACCTTTGTGATTGTGTGACGCCAGCTTTCTATGATAAGCGAACTCCCATTGTTCGGGAGGGAGACCCAATTGAAGAGATGCTCTTTGTGCTGCAAGGCAACGTATGGACCTACAGCTCCTGGGGCACTGCAACTACCCCTCGGAGGACTAATCGTCACCCTAGTGAACAAGATATTCTTGAAGAGGATCTTCTTCAAGAGGGTGACTTCTTCGGCGAAGAACTTGTTGCTTGGGCTAGAGATGAAGCTTTAGCATTCAACTTCCCCATCTCAACCAGAACCCTTCAGGCGGTTACGAATGTCGACGCCTTTGTTCTTATGGCCTATGACTTGAGAAAAATATTCAAAAAGCGTAATCAGGAACTTGTTTCAGACAATCTTTCTGTTGTTTCATCTGATCAGCCGCAAGGACAGCCTGAGAACCCTCCAGAAGAACAATAAATTGGTAAGGTGTTGTGGTGTATTTTGAAAGCGTGAAGACAACAAGAAGAATAAAAATTTTTGCGCATCGAAGACACTAAATAAAACACTGTATGTTTTCGGAATATTTGGTGATGCTCCTCAGTCTGGTATTCTAGAGGTACACTTTCTTTCTTTGAGTACACTTTCTTTCTTGCTTTTGTATAGTTTTTGTTCATTGAGTCCTCAAATAAGTTAGGGAATTCCTTACAAAGTGTTTGATTAAATTCTTATTTGACAAGTAATATTTTTTTGTTTAAACACAAAAATAGATAGGATTATCTTGTAAAATAGAGATCAAAATATGTTTATTTAGCGTGTATGATATGTCATGTTATATTATTGTTGGCATTTTTCATATAAAATTTTGGTGAGCTGATGTATATTAATATGATATGTATATATAAGCGATATTCCGAATTTCTAGTATCATATTTGGCGGTTACTTGTAAATAAGTTCATACTGTGAATGGTGTGTAAACATAGCTTCACCTCCAACATAAATGGCCTAACAGTTCTACAGTTATATGGGATCCTGAAGTATTTTTTTCTGCAAACAACACCGGAAATGTTGTCTTTTCCGACGCAAGATATGTGTAGTAAAACACAAACCCTGCATCCCAAATTACAATTTCTCTTTTGTGTCGAAAAAATCGTCGGGCCAAGCCTGTCAGGACAAATACCCCGACGCAGGTTGTAGTGTTGACTCTAATAATATGTGCGAAAAAATCAGAATATCTAATTTTAATGTTAATGCACAAGGTCGAGTCACTCATTCTGTTTATAAACCCAAAACCCAGGTCTGTTTGCAGAAATCCATAGTTAACTTCCACTTGAATCTTTAATTTATATCAAACAAGTTATTTAATTAGCGTATTGCTATATGGTATTCATGAAATTCAGTAATTTTGCACCAGTTGAAGAGAATATTAAAGACCTTGTAGGTAGCCTTCAGGTGAGCTATTTTGTATATTTTATAGCTTGATTGGCACGTTTTGAGGATGCATATGGACACAAGCATAAATTGATCATCTTTCATGTTTTTTGCAGGTTTCTGTCTTGAGTGAAGAGGAAGGCACAGCTGGGGCAAACTGAGTGTCAAGAAATTTCTTAATCTTTTGTATCTGTCACTGCATTAAAAAGTAGGAAACTGTGTTGTAACGCCAAATTGACGATTCAGACCTTTCTTTCAAGTTTCATCAAGTATTGGTAGAATCTTTTGTTGACTCAAACATGTATATTAAAACATTTCTACAGCATTCAAAAACACCACACTTGAACAAAGAATCCAAAAGCTTACTGCATTCCTTGTTTTCCTTTTGTTTTTCTACAACTCAAAAGCCTCAACCGAAAAGGGGAGATAGATTACAGTTCTCAAAATACAACCAAGTACCACAAAATATTAAAAAATGGAAAAATAATCATTGCCACATTTTTTTTTTTATTTTTTTTTGGGTAAGTAAGCTTTTATAGAAAGAGGAAAGAATGTACAAAAGGCCTAAAAGTCGGTCAACCTACCTCAGGACAAGCCCTAGGTTAGGAGCAAAAGAATGATACTATCTAAGTTTACCCCTAATTTTCTCTTTTTCCCATTCCTCTTGTCAAAGGAATGGAACCAAGCAGAGATTAAAGAATACAATGAATCCCACCTATCATAGGACATGTTCTGGGTTAGGTTCAAAAGTATCAAAATACAAAACCTATATGCATAAGCATTAACAAGAAGAATTTCATAAACATTGACATTAACAAGGTAGGGCTCGTTAATGACATAAAGACAAAGTACTAGATCAACACCCCAAGTCTTCCAATTGCCAAAGTAGCCTTTTCTAGCACAATCACCCGCTGGGATGTCATATAACCAAATCCGCTTACATGACAAAAAACCTATCACATAACAACAAACTATATAATTAGCTCACATGGGATGTTTTAAAAATAGAAGTGGGCAGACTCCATTTCTTGGCAAGTCTTCTATTGTAGATATTCTTTATGATCTTGCTAAGGTACATAGCTCTCTCCCTCACCACATTTTTGATAGAGTTGTATAGAGTATGTGCATCCTTGCATTCCCCACCGAAAATCCGGCTATTCCTCTCTCTCCAAATAGAGTAAACGGTGGCTCCCAAACTTAGCTTCCCTATAGAGTACTTTAGCTTATTTTTCCTCTACCTACTAGCTATGTGCTCAACATAATCGTTCCAAGGTTGGGTGACATACCCAAGAGAAGAGAGCTCAAGGATTTGATTCCAAATCCTTTGGGTGAAAAGACAAGCAAAAAAGAGATGATCAATTGTTTTTTGCTCATGATTACAAAAACAACACACATTGCTAGAAGCTATTCCATACCTCATTAGTTTATCCCTGGTCTGAAGCCGATCCTTACATGACATCCACGTGATCATGGAGTGTTGTGGAATAGCTTTTGGGAACCATACAAGGTGATGCCACTCCACTCGGTGTTGGTGCATACGAGTAACCTCCCAAGCCAATTTTATAGAGAACTTATCGAATGTATTAGGCTTCCAAACAACCACGTCCTCGCCTTCGCCCTCGCCCTCCTTTGGATCAAAGTCGATAGAATCCTTCATGTCCATCAAAGCCCAAGAATTAGCCGTTGGCCATCTCCTCCTTGTCCCATCCCAAATCTCACACACCTTAGCAAGATGATGTAGCCCCGAATCAAGATGATGTAGCCCCGAATCATACACAATGTGGCTGCTATATCTATCCTTGAGAGGGCCTCTTGGGTGCCAATTATCATGCCAAACATAAGTTGCTTGACCATTTCCGATGATGGCTTTGATGTGCTCTCTAGCTTCCGTTCTAAGCTTCAAAATGCTTCTCCAAGCCCAAGAAGCATCTGAAGGTATATGAATCTCCCAAAAGCTCTTCCTTGCCAAGTAGGTTGCTTTGATCCATTCAACCCATTCGAAGCCATTACGTAATTGATTAAGATTCCAAACATGTCTCATCATGACTGCCTTATTCCAATCCTTAGCTCTCACAATCCCCAACCTATCTTCTTCAATAGGGGGTTTTCATGTCATTGCCACATATTTTTACCAGTCCCAATAACTCTTATAGCCTTAAAAATCTTCTTTACACATTTTAGGAAAGTTCCCATTGTCTTGGGTTAAGGTAAAATGGACCAGACTTTCATTTTCCTTGGGCTAATAATTTGGACTTTGTAATGGGCTAGGGTTGATCTTTAACACTCCCTCTCAACACCAGCTTTCACTCTTCTCTCTACACCATGCCAAGTTGACAACAAAAGTTTTTGAACTTCCCAGTACTCAAACCTTTTGTCAACAAGTTTGCAACTTGATCATCCGTTTGATTTGCCTCATCTCAATCTCTTATTGCAAAACCTTTTCTCTGGTAAAGTGATAGTGCACTTCCACATGTTTAGTTCTTGAATGAAAAACTGGATTCTCTGTTAAGCGAATTGCTGACTGGTTATCACAAAACAATGGAACTACATAGTCTTTTGGTTGATTGAGATCATTGATCAGCTGTAGAAGCCATGTACTCTCTTGAGCTGCCATAGCTGTTGCTCGGTACTTTGTTTTTGTGGTTGACAATGATACTATTGTTTGTCTCTTGCTACACCAAGAAATCGTTCAAGAACCAAGCTTAAACATGTACCTGGTAGTTGATCTTCTGGTGTCATGATCTCCTGCATAGTCAGCGTCACAATAACCAATTAGTCTGCAGTCTTCACCTTTCTTATATAAAAGACCATAATCAATTGTACTCTTTACATATCTCAATATCTGCCGAACTGCTTCCAAATGAGACTTCTTTGGATTTTGCATGTACCGACTCATCTCACCAACTGCATAAGAAATATTAGGTCGAGTCAAGGTCAAGTAAATCAGATTACCTACCAACTGTCGATACATCGTCGCATCATCCAAGTCTTTGCCTCCATGGGCACACATCTTGGCATTCAGTTCCATTGGTGTTGAGATTGGTTTGCATTCAAGCATTCCGAATTTCTTCAACAAATTTTTGGCACGTTTTTGTTGACTGAGAAATATCCCTACATTTGTGCAATCAACCTCTAGTCTACGAAAGTGCTTGAGTTGTCCAAGTTTTTTCATTTGGAAGTGAACTGATAAGTTCTCTTTCGTTCGACAAATTTCTTCAATGTCGTCTCTAGTGATAACCAAATCATCCACATATATAAACACGATAGCTAGTTTCCCTCCATTAGTTTTGACAAATAAACTTGAATCTGCAAGTGTTATTGAATAACCACTTTGAGTGAGAAATTCAGCAATCTTGCCACACCATGCTTTTGGTGCTTGCTTCAATCCATAGAATGCCTTCCGCAACTTACAAACATAATTAAGATGATCTTGGTTCTCAAAACCCCTTGGTTGAATGATATATATCTCTTGATCCAACTCCCCATTCAAAAAGTTGTTCTTCACATCCATTTGCTACAAGTTCCAATCTTTGTTGGCTGCAAGTGCAAGTAGGACTCATACGGTTGTAAGCTTTGCCATTGGACTAAACGTTTGATCGTAATCTAATCCGCACTGTTGAGAGACACCTTAAGCCACCAATCAAGCCTTGTATCTTTCAATTGATCTATCTAGATGGCGTTTTATCTTACAAACCCATTTGCAGGATATGGGCTTCACATCTCTTGGCTTTGGCACCACATCCCAAGTCTGATTTTGCTCTAGCGCAGAGATTTCTTCTCCCATAGTGTTAATGCACTCAAAACTCTGCGATGCTTCTTCAAATATCTCAACTTCTCTTGTAATTACTTCTTCTACTATGGCTACGTTGGTGTATTTGGGATTTGGTTTGCGTATTTTAGTTGACCTTCTGAGTTGTGATAGTGGATTTGATATTTCCACTACACTAGGTTCACCTTCTTCATTTGGATGTTGGTACATTCCAGTTTGCCAAGGATTCTGAGTTTCCTCGACATTATCCCCATTGCATGAATCTTCACTTTCGTCTGAACTTTATCAGATTAAAGCAGTTTGCTCCCCAAACCTCTGTTGTAGCTTGTGTTAGTGTATATTAGTGTATGTCCTAGAAATCATTCGTGTTGTCGGTTTCAGAGCATTTTGTCTTGTATCTATATATCATAAATAATAGAAGAAAGAGTTCTTCAATTCATATGTATAAATTGCTTCCTTTATTTAGTCATGCATTTAAAATAAAGTATGTATATGAATTGTCCAGATGATTCATTTAATCGGTAAATGAATTATCAAAAGGGTTCCCTACAGAAGCAATATAATTTGGGCAACTATATTGCATAGTAGGCATATTGGATGCTTCCGAGAGATATCATGAGTTGATATAAATACGGATGACGATGATAGTCATGTCATTGGGGCATTGGTATGGATTAGTGATTGGTGAACTGCTTTTCAAACGTGACTGAATAACGACAAATCACTTAGAAAAGCATGTAGTCAATGATTTATCGTTTGGTTATACCAGTACACGATGTAGTCTTTTGACTTAAGACATTGTGGTCGGATCCGATACAGATGCATATGGTTCTTACGGTGTATAAGTACGAGACTAGTCATGTTTCGTATGATAAAGCCTATTTAGTCATGCGTTGTTCATATGCGAAAACGAACTATGGTCAAGAAGGGATCCATTGACTTGGAAATATAGGATTAGGAGTACCGCTGACTCCATTTGGATTCGAATTCTTGGTCGAACGTCGATAAATGTCAGAAATCAGAATCTTTGGCCAGAGTCTATTATTAGTCATACAAAAGCAAGTTTGTGATGACGAGTTCCGGACATATTGATTGACGATTCGGTAGAAGATCGAGTTTAGGATTTTGACATTTTATGAATCCTGCTTGATCGGGATATATCAATAGAGAGACTTTACCTGCATGGTACATATGATCTGAAATGGGTTCGATGAATTATTTCTTCATCGTGGTTTAGGGACTATGTCACATTGCTAGATGTTTACCATAGTCGTTGGGCTTCTGGACAGGTTTCCGGATTCATCCAGAATCGGCTCACGGCTAATCAACGGTGGACCTACATGGTCACACCAATAACCTTGAGAAGTTAGAGAAGGATGAGAGAGAGAAATGATTATCCGAAGAGGGCTAGCACCTTCCGAGGATAATGACGGGATTTCTATGGTAATAGTTACATAGAAAATTGTTTGTGACATTTTAAGGGTTAAAATGGTCAAGCAATAATTAATTATATTTAATTATTATATCTTAAAGCATTAAGATTAATGAGATGAACGAAAATAACCTTTTAATGGTTAAAGGGTAAAATGGTATAAATTTATGGGTTGTTAATATAAACTAATTTAGTTTACATGGGCCCTTGAATAATATTGATTATTCAAAGGGTAAAATAATAAATTCGTGGGCTTCTTTTAAAATAAGATTTTATTGGGGCATGGAAATGAAAAACAACTAATTGCAAAAATTGTCCAAGTATATATAAATGCAAATGGTTGCATTTTAGTTCATTATTCACTTTGTTCACTCAAAGCAAACTAAAATCTCTCTCTCTAAGCCACGACCACTCTCTAACTCTCTCAAGGTGGTGTTAAAGTATGGAGGTCTCATCATTTTGAGTCTTGGCTTCATCAACCTTAAGAAAAGGAAAAGGTATAAGTTTCTTACTTGTGGTTTGAAATTTTTGTATCCTATGCATCCAACCTTTCATGCTTTCAATCTTCATTTCCGCCACTCTTCATGCATGTTCTTCTTACAGCTTGTCTTTAAATTCCTTTGAGTTTGTTACTAACTCCTTTTCTAAGGACCACCATGAAGACACTTCATCAAACACCACATTTCGTGATGTGTAACATCTTCCAGTTATAGGATCGCAACATTTCCACCCCTTTCTTTGGTTGTCATATCCTACAAAGATGCATCTAACAACTTTCTTGTCAAACTTACTACGCAAATGATCAGGTACAAATACGTAACATACACAGCCGAATACTCGAAAGTAACTAACTGTAGGTTTCATATCCCATAATTTCTCAAAGGGTGAAACAAATTCTAACCTCTGTTGAGGAAGTTTGTTGATCACAAAGGCTGCAGTCCTCATTGCTTCAGCCCAAAACCTTTTCGGTATGTTTTTTACATATAACATAGTCTGACAAATTTCTGCAAGATGCCGGTTCCTTCTTTCGGCTACATCGTTCTATTGTGGTGTGGTGGCACAAGTGTATTGATGATGTATTCGACATTCTCGTAGGTATCGAGAGAAGTTGCCTAAGCCATATTCTCCCCCATTGTTTGTGTGCAAGCAACAGATCTTCTTTCCCACTTATACTTCAATTGTATCTTTGAACTCTTTAAACTTTGAGAATGTGTCAGACTTTTCTGTTGGATATGGTTCATACTTTGCATGGTCTTGCCCCTACGTAGGCACATTCAATAAATCTAATTAATAATTAGACTTGTTATTGTTTTACTAATATTTGGGCTTGAATCAGATTAGATTCAGTTAGGCCCAAATGGGGTAAGGTTTTTCTATTATATAATGTAATAGTGAGAAACTTAGGTTACAAGAAAATAGAGAGTGTGCTGCCGTCATTAAGAGTGTAATTGTTGCAGTGTTTTAAAACTTAATACAAGATCTCTTTTTGAATGCTGGATGTAATTCCTTAATCGGAACGAACTAGGGTCAATCAAGTATCATTTATTTACTTTTCTATTTATTTTATTGCATGTGTTTGGCTGGTGTTTCAACATTTTCTTCTATAAGGAAAACCCACACATACTTGGAGAAGTCATTAATGAATGTCACCATGTACCGCATTCCACCAACTGATTGTTGCTTGACAGGTCCGAACATATCAGAGTATACTAACTCTAGTAGTTCCTTTGCTTTAAACTTCGATTCCTCATATGGTAATTGATGTGCTTTACCATACTGGCATCTTGCACATACCGTATATGTTCTCACATCAAGCTAACGAAGACCATTAAGCATTGATTTC